AATAAGATTATAAGTATGCTAATAATGCAAAATTAAATCTTTTAGATTGTTAATTACTATAAATAAATTGAGGTTACAAGGATAAAATATTTTTGCTTTTATTTTTAAAGGTTACATTTGTGTGTGTGTGTGTGTGTGTGTGTGTGTGTGTGTGTGTGTACATGGAGATCAGAGGAAATCGGAGAAGAACTTGCAGGTGTCAGTTCTCTCCTACCACCATGTGTGACCTGGGGCTCCAACTCAGGTTGTCAGTCTTGGTGTCAAGCACCTTTATCTACTGAGCCATCTTGCCTGCACAGATAAAATTGTTTTAATCAACTAATTAATCTCCAAATACTATTTTATTTTTAATGACAAAAAATGGTTGCTGCCTTAAACAGGACACCGGTCAACCTGATGAACCAGTAGATAGATGAATGAATTTCAGGATATTTAAAATGGGGCTGGAGAGATGGCTCAATGGTTAAGAACACTGGTTGTTATGCAAAAGACCCAGGTTCGACATGGCAGCTAACAACTGTCCATAAATCCAGTCCCAAGGGATCCGACAGCGTCTTCTGACCTCCGAGGGTATTGCATGACATGGGTGCACTTATCTACATGCAGGCAATACACACATACACATAAAATAAAAAATAAATAAATATCCAGGTGTGGTGGTGCATGTCTTTAATCCCAGCATGCAGGAGGCAGAGGCAGGCAGATCTCTGTGAGTTCAAAGACAGCCTGGTCTACATAGTGAGTTCCAGGCCAGCTGGGGCTACAGGGAGACCCTGTCTCAAAAAAACTGAAAAAAATTAAAAATAAATAAATAAATAAATACATACATAAATGTAAATACACTACACATTTTACTCTTCTTACAACTATGATTGACTATTGCATATCCATATTTTAAAACCACAGATTTTAAATAGGTATTCCTTAATATATATTTCTACTATAGCATATATTATGTACTGTATCTACACTTAGAACACTGATCTAATTTGTTTTCAAGTGATTTCCCTTTAAAGAAAAAGCTCTGGATGGTATTTTATACTATTAGAAACTACTAATAATATGAACTGGTTTCATTACTACTCTAACTATATAACTGACTATTATACAGTAAACAAAATTGTAAAATGTGTCATTAGAGGAAGATGCTCTAAAACAGGGTCTCAGGGCTGGAGAGATGGCTCAGCAGTTAAGAACACTGGTTGTTCTTGCAGAAGACCCAGGTTCGAATCCCAGCACCCACATGGCAGCTAACAACTGTCCATAACTCAAGTCTCAGGGGATCCCACAGCCTCTTCTGACCTCTGCGGGCATTGCATGACACAGGTGCACTTACTTACATGCAGGCAATATATGCATAAACATAAAATAAAATAAATATTTTTTAATTAAAAAAAAGACAGGGTCTCACTATGTACACCTGTTTCTCCTGGAACTCACTATGTAGACCAGGTCGCTCTAAAACTATGTAGACCAAGCTGCCCTAAACATTTTATTTTTCCTGCCTCTGACTCTGGAGTGCTGGGATTACAGGTGTGTGACACTCTATCCAGCATAAAAAATAAATTGTTCATGCTGATTAATTGAACATAGCTGTTGATAAAGTACAGTATATTTAAATTTCAATCATTTCATTCAAATATTAACAGTATCTTATTCCCTTAAAACTTTTAAACAATTATAGACAAAGACTGAAAACACAGAGATGACACCAAGAATGAATGTTAACATAAACGATGACCTTGAACAATAATGAAGTGTGATACAGGCTCAACTGATTGCAGCCAATGGATTCCCTGGATGTGAGATAGTGGGGGAGTCTGTGCATGCAGGAGGGAGAGTATATGAAAATACTATTTTCCACTCAATTCTTCTGTAAACCTAAAACCACTCCAAAAAAAATTCTATTGAAAATGTTATACAAGTATTGGGAATGTTTGCTAAATCTGTCTCTAAAATAATTCAATGCAGCCAGGTGTGATGGCACACACTTTCAGTCCCAGCAGAGGCAGGTGGATCTCCGTGAGACCACATGGTGAATTTCAGTCCAGCTGGGGCTACAGGGAGACCCTGTCTTAAAAATGTATATGGGTGTGTATATGTGTGTGTGTGTGTGTGTGTGTGTGTGTGTGTAAAATAAAATGTGACTAATAAGTTCAATGGTGATGATAAAAAGTTAATATCATTAGAAGAACGAGCAAGCATAGACGTGTTTTATTAGAGAACTTTATAGATTTTCTAAAATGACACATTTCTCACTTCACATGTAATTGCAAAGAAATAGCTAAAAACACTGCAGCAAAATTAAAAGAACACATATTAGAGATCAAAATTTCCTGCCTTGTTATGCCATTTAGAAGTTACTGATCTTGGGCAAATCACTTCATATGTCTACAGCCTGATGCATCATTTGTAACACAGGTTATACCAATTTCACAGTAAACATTCAACAGAAACAGCAGTTACAAGTCTAATTAAAGCTACATGGGCTAGAAGGTCAATTCTAGCTGTGAAACATTTAGTGATTCTACACACCCACTGTTTTACAAAAGACTGAGATACCAAAGCCTCAGCAAATCACACTTAGCATTCTTTTGCTATGCAACAAATACATCTGTGCAGATCTGATGTGAATATAAAGATGAGCAGGAAATACAGCTAGTCAGTCAAGGCAGACACAGCTTAATTATGTAGCACTGTACAGTTATCAGAGGAAGAAATTGTCAAAAGAAAACTCAAAAACATGAGACTTTACCTTTTCTTTTGCCAAACCACTTTCCAGAAAGAAAACAGAAAGTGAATATTCATAGCCACATCTTTGTAAGTGATCTGCCACTAGGGAGTCAGAAGCACCTATTAGGAGGGCACTTCCTTCCACTGCAGTGGACTGGGGCTTCACTTGTCCATTCAATATGGGATGCCTCAATCCATGAATTAGCTGGTTCCGGAGTTGTGTCTGAAACAAACAAGGGAGGGTGTATAGATTTCAGTAGGACAGAGATACATACAGACTTGTCACAGGAACTGCAATCCTTCCTTGTATTTCCAAAATGACTCTAGATCCATGGCCAGAAGGCAGGAAATCGCTTCCTTCAGGAAATCAAGAAGAAAATTCTGTCACTTTATCACAACTCTGTCAGGCTACGAAAACAGCATTGGGTCAATGTAGTTCATCGGGCACATTGATCAAGGTGAAAATTACTTCTCAATAGAGAAATAACACACACAGGAGAGAAACTAGTAAGGCTAAGGCTTATCAAGAATGCACTACTAGGCCAGCGAGATAGCTCAGCAGGTAAAGGCACTTATCATGCAAGCCTGATGACCTGACTTTGATGAGTTTAATCACCAGAACCCATGGTAGGAGAGAAGCCGCTCCTGAAAGTTGTCCTCTGACTGACCTACCTACCTACCTACCTACCTACCTACCTATACACACGCACGCACACACGCACACACACGCACACACACACACACACACACCAGTACACACAAATCTACCCACAATTAAAACAAAAGAATGTACTATCACACAGAGTATTTATAACTCAATTCATTGTAAGGTATAGCTTATTTCTCACAATTGAAAAATGAGGAAATCTAGGCACAGAGTTGATAATTTTCCCAAAGTTACAACACTAACATCCTTATTCATTTGGGTTTTAAAATAATTTCCTAAATCAATGAAATTACTATGTTTAAATATGTTTTGCATATAATTTGGAAATATACAATTGGGCTGAACTTAGCAACAAGTTGCCTAGATTCTTGAAGTTCAGCAG